AATGCAAAAAAAGCCGTTCGTATACTTAAAGCTTCACTTAAAAAGTTTTAATATCGCCCTACAACAGAAAACCTTGAAAATTATAGAATATTTAGAGCCAAAGCTGAAAGATCAATTCGTCAATCTAAACGCCAATCATGGCAATCATATGTTTGAATATTAATTCAATACTCCTCTTAGTCTGGGATGCAGTACGAAAAATAAGTGGTAAGTATAAAAATAGTCCAACAGTGATGGCCAATATGACAAAACAAAAACGGATATTGCAGAAACTTTGGCTAAAACTTCTGAAAACAACTCTTCTTCAATCAATTATTCAAATGAATTTTAACAACATAAATGCAAATCTGAGAAAGAGCATATTAATTTTCCTTCAACACACGATGAAGACTATAATTCCCTTTTCTCTATTGATGACTTAATTTATTCAATCAAAACTGCAAAAGATAGTGCTGCAGGCCCGGACGAAATTTACTATCAGTTTCTTAAACATTTACCACCCCGATCTCCTGACTTGCTACTTGAAATTTTTAACAAAAATTTGGGTATCTGGTAAATTTCCCAACATTTGGAAAAATGCGTTGGTTATTCCTATCCCTTAACCCGCAAAAGATTCAACTGACCCTACAAATTATCGTCCAATTTCACTAACAAAGATAAATACAGAATCCCTAAAGAAAGCCCAACACGGCAAAATTGAAAATGTTGCAGGCTCGGTTTGATTGAGCCTGTTCATGGACGGTACTGGAAAGTGCAAGTTACCGTCCACGCCCCCTAGCACCGGCTTAAGCAGAATTCAACATTTAAACGTGAAATAGTAAAATTTTGAATTTAGAAACATCCGCAGATGTGTTCATATGGCGGTTATCATGGAACCTTCAATGTGACACTTCCGTGCCATTCCATGAAAAGCGGCGTATGGTCCCCAAGTAAAAAAAAGCGTGTGCCCTAAACGAGAAAACAATGGGCGGAACTAAATAAAATGGAATTTTGAAAGGGGATCAGAGGTTATGAAGCCTGCGTATCACAGATAAGACGTCAAAAAGACAAATTTAAAAAGCAGGCAACATATCCTAAGGGTGATTCAACATTATTCAAGCAGGAATATTGGAACCACCCAACTAGAAAATGCCGAAAGGTTGAAACTTAAAATACCACAAGCACAACAACAATGTCGTGCTGAACGATCTTCAAGGATCGAAAATATAACATCAAAAACATTCGAGAGAATGATAAATAATCGATGTTTGGTATCTAGAAAATAATGGAATTACCACTAATTTTCAGTCAGGTTTTCGTAAACAGCGAAGTACAAACGATCAAGTTGTACGACTTGAAACTTTAATTAGAGAAGCTTTTGTAAATAAACAACACCTGGTATCAAATTACTTTGATCCTGAGAAGGCTTACGATACTACTTGAAAATATGGTATCCTAAAAGATCTTAAGGATGCTGGACTTAAAGGCAGACTTCATCTTTTCATTTCTGGATTTCTAAACGATAGGCACTTTAAAGTAAGACTTGTTACTTTGTTTCCAGAATTTATTTCAACTTTTTCTGAGGACCACCAACAAGAACAAGGTGTTCCACAAGGAAGCATACTTTCTTTTACACTTTTTGGCCTTAAAATAAACAATATTGCTAGAGCTCTTACACCAAGCATAGATTCTTCTCTATATGTAGACGATTGTTTAATCTGCTATCGATTGAAAATTATGAGAACAATTGAAAGGCAACTTCAACAAAATTTAGATAAAATTCAAAAGTGGGCAATAAAAAATGGTTTTAAATTTTCAAAGTCAAAAACTCAATGTGTTCACTTTTGTCGGTTGCGGAAACACCATAATGACCCTGAACTTTACATATCTGGTTCTAAAATTTCAGTAGTTGATGAAGCTAAGTTTTTAGGAATTATATTTGATAAAAAACTTTCTTTTATACCACATATTCAACATTTGAAAACTAAATGCCTAAAAGCTTTCAATTTACTTAAGGTTTTATCAAGTACAAATTGGGGATCAAATTCTTCCACACTACAGAAATTATACAGAAGTCTTATCCGATCAAAATTATATTATGGTTCTGTAGTATGTGAATCTGTAAGAAAATCATATCTTCAGATGCTAGATACCATACATCACCAGGGTTTCCGTTTAGCTTTAGATGCTTTTCGCAGCTCACCTGTAGAAAGTCTATATGCGGAAGCTGGAAAAACAATCGCTTCATCTTCGTCGAAAAAAGCTATCACTTCAATATGCAACTAGAATTTTCATCTAATAGCAAAAATCCAGCTAAATATCATTTTCAAACCAAGTTATACTGAAAAATTTGTTAACAAACCAAAGGTTATTGAACAATTAGGCCTTCGTTTTAAAGATGATTTAGATAAACTTAAAATTAATCCAGACAGTATCTTTCAAAATGAGGATGTTCCACCTTTGACTTATAATTCCCCGAAAATAAATATTAACCTTTCAATGTAAAAATGTCATCAAATTCACCTGAACATTTCAAAGAGAAGTTTCTAGCAATTAAGGAAGAACATGATGATTTTATACATATTTATAAGGACTGTTCAAAAGAAGGATGCATAGTAGGTGCGACTGTGTTTGAAAATAATTTTACATCTAGTATGAGGTTACCAGATAATGCATCAATTTTTACTGCTGAAGCAAAAGCTATAGATTTAGCATTGCCATACATAGAAAAGCATATCCATGATAAATTTGTGATATTTTCTAACTCGCTTTCTGTTTTACTATCCATTCAAAATAAAAAATCTGACAATATCATGATAAGGAAACTTCTTTTACGATTTCATAATATACTTAAAACAAAATCTGTTAAATTATATTGGATCCCAAGTCATGTAGGTATACGAGGAAATGAAAAGGTGGATGCTTTGGCTAGACGGTCATAACAATTAAAAAAAAATACTGACCTATTGTTAACTGCTTGTGATTTTAGACCAGCTATAAATAAACTCTATCATCTGAATGGAAAGCAAATTGGGACAATGCCGTTTTTAATAAACTTCACGATATAAACCCATCTCTTGACGTGTCACCATCTCTATCTCTGTCAAATAGCGATGATCAAACAGTTCTTCTTCGATGCCGAATTGGACACACTTAAATTACCCACGCTTATCTCCTCAAGGATGACAATGCCCCTCTCTGTGTAGCTTGTAATGAAAATTTTACTGTTAAGTATTTTCTTCTTGAATGAAATGATTTTTCACAGGCCCGTAATAGATTTTATTGTGTAAATTCATTCAAAAAACGTTTTAATACAATTCCATCAAAAACATCATTGATAATTATTTGAAAGAGAATAACTTGTATTCTAGGATCTAATTGGCTCATTTTTATTGTCATTTACAAAGTTTTACAAAACAATTTAAGCCTATTATAGCATTTGGTACGATATGGCCAGTTATGTGTTGACGTGCCGTAAAAATCAAAACAAACAAAAAAACAAAAATAATCCCAATATGACAAAAATGGACCTCTTCATGTGAGAGGGTAGTATCTGGACCAATTCTACAATTATAAGGATCAAAAACAGCAGATAAACGATCTCGGAGGCCCGGGGAGGGCCGACCGCTAATGTTGTAAGAACTTGGGCCCAACCCGTTTGCTTTTGCTGTTTAAAATACATATGAATTTTGTATCTGTATTGTATAAACATGTATATAGCAATAAAATATGATTAAACAGAACAATTTTTCTAATTAATTTCAAGGATATTTGGACTGGAACAATATCCGCTAGAGTGTATACAAAGTTTTTTTCTAAATTTGGGCCTTTTGACTTAGTGTTTGATCCCAGGTAACCCATAGTCTATGTTGACTTTGAAATCCTAAAAACAATCTTTCTGACCAATCTTCAGGAAATTTGGACCTAAAAAGTAGCCCCTAGTGTGTTAATAAGTTTGTTCATATTTGTGACCTTGTATTTGACTACCGTTGACCCATTTTCAACTGGGCTTAGAAATCACAAAAAACAAACAACCTGACAGACCAATTTCCAGGCTCCTTGAACCCACACATTAGCCTCTAAAGCGAAAAAATAAAAATGGCTGAATGACCTAGTGTTTACGCCCAGGTAACCAATATTTATACTCGATTTAGACATCACCAAAACAAAAATACTGACAAATTGTCAGGGCATTAGGGTTTTTACATGTTTGTACTGTGTGACCTTGTTTGTGATCCCAGATGACCAATATTTAAACATGACCTCGAAATCACCAACACATTTCAAAATTCAAATTCCAAAAATATTGTATTCAAAATAGTAGCCTCTTGAACGTTGGCAAGTTTTTTCCGTATTCTGGTTGTGCAAATTTTTTTTGACTTAAAATGACCCATATTCGAAATTGACCTAAAAATCATCAAAATATTTTTCTGACCTATTTTCCAGATTATTTGGACAGGAAAAGGTTTTTTAAATCCAGGTAAAAATATGATAAACAATATGAACAGGGAAAGGCGGCATTCAATGACCGCAATAACCCATAGACCGAGAAATCACCATAACAACTTTACTGACCAATTTCCAGGATATCTGGATCTAAACAGTAGCCTCTAGAGTGTTTACAATGTTTACCTTATTTGGGCTGTGCGACCTAGTGTTTGACTCCATATGACCCATTTTCCAACCTGACTTCGAAATCATCAAACAAGTTTTCTGGATATTGTGATAAAATCAGTAGCTTTTAAGTGTTATAACAATATTTTTCCATATTTGGACCATGTGATCTATTTTTTACCCAATTAACACGTTAAATTAGTTAACGAGGAAAATATCACGATATAATATGAAAGATTAACAAAATTGATCAACGGTCACGAAATATACCCACACAATGTCAAGATAAATGTTTAAGTCCTTATTCATGCCAATTATTTTGAAACTCCGCCTTTTTTACGCCCATTGACAAACATTCTGTTTTCTTATTTAATTTTGTTAAGTGAATTACAACTTGTGATAAAAAATAACTTAAGGTTGAAGGTTTGGTAATAAGTTAAATATTTGACTAATGCCTTGTCATTAGTTTAACCTATATCATTATTTAGCTGTAAAAAAAAAAAAAGGATATCGGTCTATTGAAAGTTTTAGAAACTGGCAATGAAAGGTAAGCTTATAACTTTTTAGTTTTTTTATTCTTAATGTTTTTTTTTAAAGAATAGAGTATCTTATTGTGAAATAATGGAACAGTTTGTTCTATTCACGGTTGAAAATATTTATTGGGTACCACAAAACATTAGAGACGTATTATCATATCGTGCATATTACTTTCACATGTCATAACACACATTTTCTACATCAAAAATAAGTTTCTTTTGTTTTCCCACATCTATGATACTGTGAGAAATAGCGTGCAATGGCAACTGAAACTTAGTAAAGGATCAGACACTAAAACATGTTTTACATCTTTTTTTATAGTTATTCAATGACAAGCTCAAAATGTTCTATGTGCCGATTAAATTTTTTTGTTTGCTGGTCGTGAATTTTATTGAAACGGTCAATTACAATACATGTAGTATAAAATATTTTCAATTCCTCATTATTTTATCACTTTCCCTTTGAACGCACAAAATATTCACATTATCTCGTTTACATGTATGTTTCAAGCATTTAAAAATAATGCTGCCTTTCACGGAATAAGTTTAATTATTATTATCTGTTTATTATTAGCATGCTTCGTTACATAACTATGTATGTATAGTTTAACCCAATAAACCTACATAAAACCACACTGTATAGTGAATGTGTTAATCATAAATATTTTTATATGCATGGTAAAACGTACGACACAGTTGATAATGCACTCAGTCCGTGTATTGGGTTTTTCTTTCTCTTTTCATTCTTTTGTGAAAGATGATGACAATTACAGTTATTAAAATGCTACCTGTATTTTCAAGTTTTTCTATATGAAATTAAGTGTGCTATGGTATGATTTGTAGCTTGTTTCTGCATATCATACATTATATTCAGTTTGTTTATATCATCTTTTGATCCCATACTTTAAGTGTGCAACCATTTGTAATATTTTAGATTATTGGAACACAGAACAATCAAGATGTTAATACAATTATCTGTTGTTCTATGCTGTCTCTCAGGTGCATCTGGGTAAGTGTGCCAAGTATTTGATATCATATTAAGTGCAACATTCCCTTAAATAAAATATTTCATTTATCACAATCGTAAACAGAATATTTCGATCAATCGCTTTTTAGCGCTATAAATGGTTCCCAACCGTTACACTTGTTAATAATATACATACCTTACACCGATACCTATATGTGAAGCACACATAATTGAGAATGATAACAGCTTTCATAGCTGATGTACACATCATCTTAAATGATATGCTAAACTTTAACAAAAGTACACACGATTCCTTTTGTTTTTAAATGTATCAACTTATAATAAAACAATACAAAAATTTGACAACTAATACGAAAGAGCATAGGGACAGCATGTTGTTCATTTGATTTTACCTTTAGGACATATGTGGCATATTTTCCAAATTCACTGATACCTGGTATTCCGTTGAAAGTTCGAGTTCTGGTTCAAGACTCTGGAGGTCCAGTTTCAGTTTGCGCCGGTGTGAAATTTGCCGACAACGACTCAGTTGTTGCAGAAAATACTATCCCTGTGAACAGCGGTAAGTTCATTTTAAGAACATCTTTTTAAGATCTTTAAAACATATTGTCATTGACATTAATTGATATATTTATATTAAAGTGAGTTGGTCTAATTTTCCAATGTTTTAAATGTTGATAAAATATTGAAATGTATCATGAGGATATTCTTTAGAAATATTACAAAAATTTGTAGAAAAAGTTCTTAGTGATTAAAAATGCTTCGTCATACGGATTTAACTGAATCATCTTAATACGTAAAACGCATGCAAAATTGGTATTAAAATTATTAACAACGTTGCTCACATTTATATTTTTCGGCCGATGGCCGTCTGATTTCATCTTGACTTCGCTAAAATTAACTGTAAAGAAATGAATTTAGGCAGAATTTTCACTGGTCATTTTAACACTCATAGCCTGTTCGATTGATACTTTAGAAGAGTTTTCGTTATAGGTAGAGGTCTGTTAGATTGCGCGATGGCAGGAAGTGTTGGAAAAAGATATAAGTCAGAACAAATATAAAAACATAATAATGATATTTTTAGATGTTTCTTACAGCTTTGCAATAAATATATGAAATTAAATATGACAGATCGCCTTTTTGATACTTTTGCGTTCAACTGGGTTTCTCCTCTCAGCTGTTCTAGACAATATATTCTCTTCTCAAACCGGGCATAAGACGATGGAAACGAACTTTTCACTATTTTACAGTTTCAAAATTATCTGTGGAATTAGTGTACAGTATCTACTAAATCTTTGTTTTATTATAAATTCATATTCAAATCAAATTCCATTTTGATTAAAATCAAATAATGTAAGTAATATTAAATCTAAGATGACAATTAATGGGGAAAAACATTGCGGGTAAAATGAACTGAAATTTACCTATTGAGGACGAATAAAATGTTCTGTTTGCGGTTAGCATGGTTAGTAGTAGCTTATCCTACGCAAGTTAACCACCGAGTATCTTTTTAAAGATATTTCTTCTTATAATATTTTTTTTTCTTATACAAACTTTGTTCGAGAGTGCCGTGTCAGTTTTAAGCCATGTTAAGTATATGATACGACTTGTGGCACGAATAGACCTAGATAAGTACGGTTGCTTTGTCAAATGAAACGCCAAGTGAAAATAAATAAAACCAAGCAAGAAATCGTTAGGCATGATGCTTTAGATTACGATAACATAGCAGCATAATGCTTAAAATAAATTATGACGTTACATTATATAATTTCTTTCTCTATATATGTTATGGGGGTCATTCAACACGTTGTTGCAATTTTACTTTTTATTACTGATATTAGACCATTTAGTCAGAATCACTCAATTTTTATTCTGTTTTACCTGCTTATCATCCGACTTCTTTCAATATCTTAAGGCGCAACTTGTGACCAAAACTTGCATTTTCAGTAAACGAGTTTAACAGTTATAATTATTATAAAACAAGACAAAAATAGTTCGTTTTGTTTTACCCCTAACTTGTATATAAAGCAGGACAAAAAAACGAAAACAATTTCAAGCGTCTAACACACTTAACCACTTCACATGACAATTGTCTATTTGGAGTGTCCGTTATATAAAACCACGGTAACTACGTGATGTTATATTTTCCTTATTCTATTTAAATTAAAGTGTTATTCTGATATGTCAGTCTCGACATGATACAATGGATAAAGAGTAATACTTTAACAACATCTTGACACTGAAAGTAAAATAATAATTAAAAGAGCGAATGTGATAATTTTATAATTACTTAAAGTGAGTAAGCCCTTAAAGTGTTTCCTGATGCAAGGACTATTATGTCAAGAGACGTTTAAATAGAAGAATTAGATTTGTCAAATCACAACTTTCATTCATATTCTCTTTTTATGGTACTTGAATTATGATTGAGCGAGTGTTTTGTCAGGGGTTCAAGGTTCAAACATGAGTTATACCACGGAATAAGGTCAACATTGTCGTGATTTTCTTCAGTACAGTATTTGTCTTTGAATTGAGAAATATACTTAACGGAACTAAATACATAATACATTTATAAGGACGTTTACGGAATCATAAAATACGTGAACACACACACACACATACACGCACGCAAGCATACACGCATGTACTTACGCACACACGCACGCAAGCACACACATACAAAAAAAACTATGTTAACATCACTAAGAGTGATATACTCTGATTAATACTTCACAACAGCAGGTGTCAAGTGGCGTATTACAGCTGTTAAAAGTTGCCCCGTACTTCACGTCAGTGTTGTTATATTTTTCTGGTCCTTCAGGATCATTTATACCAGCACTATTAAGTGTTGAGAATTGAGTTCCGCTCAAGCCGGTGTTTCTATACTTGAGTGATAATGCATTCATTCATTATCCCTCATCTACAGACTCAATCAAACTGAGTCTTGAATTCAATGTAATAATGCCTCCGTGGGATCACTTTGTTTCCAGATATTTATTTCACTTAATAAAACCCTATATTATCACTAAAAAGCATAAACTATAACATCGATTTTTACAGAGTATATCTCAATGATATCTGATATTGATATCTTATCGTGAAGCAACTGTACTATTTGAAACGGTTTCTTAGTTGGATTCTGATTAGAGAGTTAGCACGTTCGATTCTTAAGCTAATAAACATCTTTTATACAGTATCTTTCTCTTTGATTATCATTGTAAAATATCATTATGATAAAGATAACAACAACTTTAAATTAAATTTATTGTTGTTTGAACATGCTTCATACACTGTTATATATCTATAGATGTTTACATGTTCTGTTCAATGGCGGTATTATCAAAATGCATTTGAACTGTTGATATCATTAAGAAATATTGACGTCAACGTTGACGTCCTGTTTCTTTGATACCGATATTTGACCACTATGTTGGAAATCTCATGCCACGGCTCGTATGCTTTAACAATGTAATTAAAACAGATAAATATGTTTCCACATGTGCGATCGAAGTGCAGGTATTGAATTGTAATGTTATTTTTTTAAATGTCAATGTCGGACGATTTACGTTTTTGAAACAAACGGATTAAAGAGTATTTGAATTGATTTAATTATGTTGTAATGGACTTAGTTTATAAATACTAGGATTGATACTTCCTTTTATATAAATCAACACATAAGTGTTATTTGCCTTAAACTCATGCCAAATAACTTGCTGTGCGCTGATTCACGGTTTGATTATATCAAGTGATTAATACACGGCAGAGTAGGACTTGATTATCACAATCGCCTCTAAAAATGAATAATGGCCACGAGGACTTTAGAACGATTATCACTCTCCGGCCCGTCTATAAAGTGTATTAACGTCTTTAATACACTTGATAAATCTAAACGAAGCATTTAAAAAAAACTCGATATTCATTTCGTTGATATTCCTGTCTCTGTAGATGTGTACTGTACGGAACAGTAATTTCTACATTTTTCCCATATGTGTTTAAAAACAAAGTCCACTAGAATCAAGAAGCCCGGTTTCTTTCCTGGGAATGAAATATTTATGAAATCAAGCTTCTACAGCTGACTGTTTTGATGATGCAAAATGTGGCGTCATTTTATCATTTTGTGCAAGCAATCGTTTTCAGCAGGTCAACTATAATTAAGAGTTTTCGGTCTCTGGTCGCAAACTCATAATCGGTCACGTCACACTCATAATTAGTTGAAATGATAGACAATGTTGCTACTAAATACATGTATAGTAACACATGCACTTAAACGATTTGTGTCATGAGTTATCAAAGCCTCATTTCAACGTATTGATTGATAACCACAAATAAATAGTATTCTCTTTATTTATCTAAGATAACTTTTAAATTCTTTCTTTTTGGTGCTAGACTCACTTAATTAGTTGATTAATGCTTTCGAGGGGTCACACTTTGTCCAGATTTTAAGAATGTAGACCATGCATCAGCTAAGATCATGCATATAAGTTATAACTTAACTTTAAGTGTATCATAGGTTATCGTTAAGACAATCACTAGTTTAAGCACAAACATCCCTAGCACGTAACAAAAGGCCAACAAAAAATCAAAAGCAATGCGCTATTGTCTTCCTTATACCTAATAATTTCAGTACCAGTTCACTATCATCTCAAATATTAACAATGATTAATCACAACAATGTAGTCTACCTAGATACTATTTTTTCAATTTAAACAAATACACCTAGTTCCTGGTCTTAAATTTATCGGTCTCCACACTTGTTTTGTACTAAGTATTCTTCCTCTTTGTTGTACATGTGGTTATTTTTGTGTGACAGGATCTATAATCTGTCATTACTCAATTACGGCTAAATATATTGAGAAATACTTAATAACGTCCGCCAGTTTAAAGAAATCAATTAAAAGTAAAATTATCCATGACATTTTTCATTATTAATAAAACATACAAAATTTATAGATTTTCGTACATGTCAGCAAGTTCTGATGTTTCTTTGCACACAACTCCTTAAACGTCATTACATGTAAGCATAGGATCATTTTGTCAAAAAAATTGATTAGAGTCCAACTCGATTGTTTACTTTATATATTTTCTCTTTTTCCAGGAATGTATTCGGCTATATCAATTAACGTAAGATTAAATATTTTATTCATTACTAAACAAGTAATTGATAATTAGAATACTTCCATTATATTGTAATTGAAGGCTAATTGATTGTTTCAAAAAGGAAATATAATAATATAATTACTACACCGAAAATTGTTTTCGATTTTTGACATATCACGAAAGTTCAATAAAGTTGTGATTAAAACATTTTACGAGGGTTATTCAATACGTTCTGAAAATGACACCATAACGTATTTTTCTTTCATTTTAAAACAATGAAACACCTGTTAGAGTGACAAACTATTATTAAGCTTCCTATTGACGTAGACCACGTTCCCATGTGACGTATGACGTCACATATATATGACGTCAGTTAACGTCGCTCAAGTGTCATGGCCGCGGTAAGCGTAGAGGAACAGCGTGTTTATATAAAGATAGTTTTTTTAGGGGGAAATCATGAACATTTATATGAAGCTTGCGATGAATCTGCTGTTTCATTTAATACAGTTTATAGATGGGTAATGCAATATGCAGATGGAACATTTGATTTTCTTTCGATGATCCCGTAGCGGACGGCCAGTTTAGGTTAAAGACAAGTTCTATATCGAAAAAAAGTTAACGGCCAATTGAATGAAGATCGGCGATAAACGTGCAAGGAGTTAGCTGAAAGTCTTGGTATTTCTATTGGGACAATTCATACAATTCTTACACGCCATTTGCGTATGCGCCGAGTTTTTGCAAGAAAGGTGCCACATCACCTTTCGCGGGACCAAATGACGGACCGGTTATTGATTGCAGATAATCAATAAAAAGGTATGAAAATGAAGGTGAACAGTACTTAAACCGCATTTTAGGCAATTGCTTAGATATGGCTTCATAGCTATGACCCGAATTAAAGTCACAGTCCTCAGAATGGCACACTCTAAGGTCGCCAAGGCCTGCAAAATTTCGACGAAAACAAGGGAACCTGAACAAAATCGCAATTATAGCCTATGATAATGGCGGTGTATTGGTGTCGGACTATGTTTCTCTTAGACATACAGTTAACGGAAAGTATTATAAACATATTTAAAATTGAGACCAGCTGTCAGGAAAAAACGACCAGCGCTCTTAAAGTCAGGGGTTCGGTCTATTCATGACAACGCATCTCCGCATAAATCACACCCAGTGGCGTTGAAAATCAAGGAATATAACTTGCAAGTGTTGTCCCATCCACCTTATTCGCCGGATATGAGTCCTAAACTCAAAATGCCCCTCATGGGTGTAAGAAGTAATGACTAAAAGGCGCTTATGTTGTGGCCACGGAACGTGAATGCATCACACGCGGTTGTCTTGCAAAGGGAATCGCCGATCTTCTGAACAGATGGAAAGCGATTGTTAGAAACAGGGGTAGTTATTTTGAAGGAATATAGGTACGGTAGGTGTGTATCACTTATAGTTTTCTTACAATATGCCTTTATCAGAACTTATTGAATGCCCCTCGTATCTTCCGGCAATACAAGAATGTACTTACATTACATTTAATACTTTCGGCTTTTGAAATATTTTGATACTTGTTATTTGTGTTTTCAATACATAAATACATACTTGTATTGTGTTGTTTACTTTTTTTCAAGGTTCCCAGTAGTTTACGTCCGTCGAATTATAGAGCATTTGTTTATGGGTCTGGTGCATTGGTCTTCTCAAACAGTTCGAGAGTTCACTATAACGACAGGAGCTTGATGGTATTTATACAGACAGATAAAGTTCGTTATGCGGCAGGTCAGACAGGTAAGTATTGAACATATCTAGATTTGGCATGTACTGACGTCAATCGATACTGCACTCCATGTTATAACACTATCTTTCATTTATAAAAATGCATGCTAAAACAGAACATATCTATTAATATAAAGACAATATGTCTCTCGAGATGTGCGTTTGGTGACAATAAGACATGAAAATAATTTTGTACATAATTTCAGTGAGATATCGGGCAGTATTTCTTCTTCCTAATCTTATGGGCTTCCAGGGAGAAGCAGCCGTCATTATTCAGGTAAAATATAATATTTGGTTATAAATTTAGATGAAATGGCGAAAATATTATTCAAAGTGATATAGATCTATATAAATATATTTGGCGTATCATTTCAGTAATATAATAAACTGTGTGTTTTTTTCTTAATGATAAATCTAAATATTTTAAAATTAATAATGTCAAAATATTTTTATGCTATAGATTGCACAATACTAGTGAATAAAACAAATAGTAATCAACATAAATGACAAGGTCATTATATGCACCATTATAGACAAAAACTTTTTTGAAAAAAAGATTGCTCCGGATATATGTTTAGTAAATTAAATAATTATATACAATTTAATAATTAGTAATGAAAGTCATTGAAAACCCCAAATCAGGCTTAAAATATAAAGATTGACTGTATCATAAAGGATGGACAGGAAAATAAGATCGAGACAAGAGGACCACATTTGGTTAAAAATGGGGTTATATCTGGTGAAATAGAGCTCAGCAAATACCCCGTGTTTGGAAACTGGACAATAGGCATTGATGTTATGGTAAGTTGTAGATACATATCTATAAATGTGATATATAACCAGTTACTATTTACATACATTTTTAACTTATTTACGTGACAATTATTACAAATATACGAGTAATCACTATAAATCATTCAAGAATTGTACTATGAAACAAAGAGAACATGTATCTATATAACGTTTCAAGGTTATTGCTTTGTATGTATAAAATGACCAAAACTAAATTCCAAAGAAACTGTTTTAAGCATTGCAACGAATGTTTAAATACACTCAATTACTTTAAAAATGATTTGTATTGTAGGGGAGAACGCATTCCAAATATTTCGAAGTCAATGAATATGGTATGTGCTACTTTGCATTCGAGAGAGAGAGAGAGAGAGAGAGAGAGAGAGAGGGAGAGAGAGAGAGAGAGAGAGAGAGAGAGAGAGATAAAGGGAGAGAGAGAGAGAGAGATTTAGTTAGATCGTCGCATTATTTGATATATTTCCCTAAAAAGTGTTTCAAAGAAGCATCAGAGAATGTGATAAGTTTATGAAAATTGAAGAATTTATTTAAACTTTAAAGGCAAATATCAACTAAAAACATAGCTATCTAAGCGCACCAACTATGTCGGCGTATCAAAAGTTTTACAAAAAATATAACAAATCAAAATCAAATATCACAAAAAATATTTGACATATATATATAAACTATATATCAATATTTATCCTATTCTGACCATGAAATAAAAAAGTATTGAGCTAATTAACAGGAGACTATAACAGAAGACCGTTAATTCTTTCTGAAAGAAATGAAAATACATCAAAGAAGTGAGAAAATAAATTGTTGTTTTAATTTCTTTTTTTTTTTTGTCAAATCATTTTCATATATTTGTGAAGTTATATCATTTTGTGTTTACTTACAGTCTTGCCGAGGTTTACCATTGCGTTGATAATACCTCCTACAATAAATACATCACAAGTGTCCTTTACAATAGGTATCAGGGCAAGGTATGTGTGAGTTTTTTTGTAATGTTTGCCAAATTAAATGCGTCAAAGTGCGTGATTTAACAACTATACGAGTTAACATACTGCGTAGGCAAGTTTTCGATATTTCTTTTTTAACACCCCTAATGACAATAACATAATGCGCTGAAAAGGAACAATATCTATAGATAAAACTTATGGCATTACCTGGATGCACTTGTTTTGTTTTTCAGTTATACATTTAAGACAGATGTAAATGGTAACTGCACTGTTCTTCTGTATAATGAAGGGGAGACTTCGAAGAACTTTCAGCTCTCAAATGATGTAACGTTGCTTACAATGCAATATTTCTTACCTTTATAGATTTCATTTAATTTCATTCGTGCATAGCTGATATTTCTCTCACCTACATAGTTTTATTTATTATGCCACCGCCCATACAATGGCTGGGGCATATAATGTTACCCCGTTCCGTCATATCACCCTTCCATCCTCTCGTCCTTTCGTTATCATCAGTTTCCGTTCATTATCTAGGTAACGGTTGCATACATTCAAATTTAAGGTATTGATATATCATAGTTAAATACAGGTCATGTTCGAATTTAGTCATGGTCCGATGATTTATGCTCCTTGATGAATTTGTCAGTTTCCGATTATTATCTCCCCAACGGTAGTATAATTTCAACTGAAATTTGACGTATGGATATGTCAACAAAACGCGAAAAGTTCGAATTTGGTCATTGGTCGGTGATTTTTGGCACCTTTCACTTTAAGAAAATAAGAAATTTTCAGTTTCCGTTCTCCCCATCACTTGCACACATTCAACTCAAATTTGACATATGAATACTTCAAAGGACTGAGCAGGTCAAATTCAAATTCGGTCATGGTTTGATGGTTTTTGTCGCAGAGTTATGCCCCTTTAACTTAAAAAAAGTAGTTTCCGTTCATTATCTCCCAAACAGTTATGCACATTCAACTCAAATTAAAGATATGGATATGCCATATAAATATGCAGGTCAACTTCGAATTTGGTCATGGTCAATGAATATTTTTGCTGAGTAATACCTCTTTAACTTTGAAAATAGGAAATTTTGCAGTTTCTGTTAATTATCTCCCTAATAGTTGTACATATTCAACTCAGATTCAATATATGGATGTGTCACAGGAATACTCTAGTCAAATTCGGTTTTGGTAATAGCTTGATGATTACAAAAATTTCCCTCTTGAACTTTGAAAAAAAGAAGATTTGTTTTGTTTCCTTTCATTATCTCTCAAACAGTGATACACTTTCAACTCTATTTGACATATAGATACATCTTCTGAATAAGCAGGCCAAGTTTGAATGTGTTAATAGTTCAATTATTTTGAACAAAGTTATTTCAGTTTCAATTTTCAGTTTCCGCACTCTTACTTTTGTGGCAATGTATGTAATCATTATCTCGGCTAAAATTTGCAATATGCAATTTGCAAAAGGTAAACACTGAATATTTGTATGGCCTTGAATTTTGTATAAAAATGGTTAGTGTTAATATTGAATAGTTGAAGGGCTTTGAACTTAGAATGAAAAAAAAATGTTTTTGTATATTGATAAGGAACTAAATATTATTATATCATTTGAAATTTTGGCTAATTGCGGGGGCATTCGTGGCGTGACGACACATTTTAGTTTTAAATACTTCAGTAAGAAACGTTGACTTCTAAGCCTTAAGAACTGCATGAATATTATAGGAGCAACGAGCCTCCAAAATAGTACTTAGGAATTAAAGGCCCATTATGCCTCAGAAATGCTACTATTTTTCAAAAGATTTAAAAAGATTTCTAATTTTCTTTTAACTTTATAGTATCAAAAAAAACAACATTATCATTAGTCAATTACCAGATCCACATATTTTACCCGTTATTTTTCGGCAATAAGTACAGTTATAGTGAATAAGTATTTGCATTGAAAGTTAAAATACTACTTTGTTATTTGTTATTATGACAAATTATTTCACATTCTTAAGGAAACAAGCATCTGTCATTCTTTACAACCATTATTTTAACTATGACATTCATGTTTGCCCCTTTTAAAGAAGTAAAGATGTATTTGTTTATGAGGCGTAATGTGGCCTTTTAGTAACTCTGGATCATTATTAGAGTTAATATATAACTATTTGATCATCATATTTCATTTCAGAATATCACACATGATTTTTTTTATTTATGATTCATTCTATCATATTAGTATATAATTAAGACAATAGCAAAAGAAAGATTTCTTTTTCTTATCCTCAGATAAAAGTTCAGCAGAATTTATTATCAATATGTCTAAGCTTATCAGCGACTTAGACATAAACTTAAACATAAAAGTCAGAGCTATGGTTACCGATAATT